CAGATTTACATCCGCGTGGGAAACAGGTCCTACTCACAACCTGTGGGGCCCTTTCACAAGCTCGACCAGCAGGGGCGGCAGGGGCCCAGGTGGGTGTGGCCCCAGGGCTGGTGGCAGCTGAGATCCAGGCTGAGGGAGGGGCCCCAGTCACCGGTTGTGGGCACTGCTACCGACCCCACAGACAAAGCAGGGACCCGACCCCGGATGTAAGAGTGAGATGAGCCAGCAGTGAGGGACGGAGCTGAGCCAGGAGGAGACCCCTGTCTGCAGAACAGCCTGTCCCAGCTCGGCTCCCATGTGGCCACGCCCTGGCCCTCACCCCTGCCTCCTGGCCATTGCCTCTTCCCCAGGTTCAAGTCTGATTCCTTCCCTGGGCTCAGGTTGGGTAGGACGGCTGAGGCTCCTGAGCAAGGCTCCAGCCCACCCAGCATGCAAAGCTGTGGCCCCGGGGTGGTGGCCCAGCAGCAGCGATGGGATGGGGCTGAAGCCGTGCAGTGAAAGGAGGCCTGGCCCTCTGCTGCCCCCACAAAGAGCTCGGGCGAGAATGGACTCATGTCAGGGCCCTCACCCCCTCCCACAAAATCGCAGGTCAGCCCTCAGGTCCTCCTCTGCTGCCTTCCCTTGTCCCGTGTGGCGGGCAGCACCCACTCTCCCCGCCTCCTGGGCACTTTGTGAAGGAGACTTCTCACCTGGGCCCGTCTTTCCCCGGCCGCTGCCCCCTCCCTGTCCAGCTGGGCCTCAACACAGAGAAGAACATTTGAGAATAAAGGAGACATAGTTGTTTATTAAGTCCTGTCCCAGATTAATAAAGACATCATAATTGGCTTAGATTTTGCCTCAAACTGTAATAAATTGTTGGTCAACCACTAAGCAATATAGACTAAGAGGCCAGCATCCCTAGGATTCTAACATTGAAAACATCTATAATAATCTATAATAATAAAAGCATAATATGCAAAACAACTGAAGGACTGAACAGCAGAACGACCGTCTGGACGACCACACTATGACACACACTGGCACCAGGCCAGCCGAGGTGGTGCGATGCAATTGGTCTGGAGGCCCCCCTGCCATCGCCCCAGGATCACCCCACAGAGGGAGGCCCAGGCTA